TTTTTCATTTTTTAAAAACCATTTAATGCCCCACTCTCAGAGTTGGAGGGGGCACTCACTGCATCACCAGCCAGCAGGGGAAGAACCTGGCCCTGCTGAGCTCCCATGCGAGGATGAACTTGGAGGTATGACCTGGGGCTAAAGAGAAGGAGGAGGCCCCAGGTCCTGGGCATGATCACTAAAACTGAACTCTGCCAGGGCCTGGGAGGCCTGGGGCAACTGCTGGAAGGGTGACAGCCACCGTAAATGCCAGAACCGAGGATCCCTCTGGTGAAAGGCAGGTAGGAGGCACCATAACCTCCAGCTTACACCTTGGTGGCTGCCTATCTTACTGAGGATGTGGAGCCACTGCTGTGCCACCTCTTGGCTTACTGGGCAAGCTGCAGCCAGGTGTGGCCAGATCTGTCCACCGACCAGTGTGCCAAGCGAGAGGGTGTTCAGCATCACTGGGGATGTAATAACACCCCACCACACCTGCTTGAATGCTGGTTTGGTGGAGCAGCTGGTGTTCCTGAAGATGAACCTCCCGCTTCTGGGGTTCCCCAGTTTCCAGGTGCAGATGGACTGAATGCTACTCTCCTCACTCTGTCCACACCTATTTCCTTTTTTCATTTTTTTTTAAATCAGGTAATGCCCCACTCTCAGCTGGAGAGGGCACTAACTGCATCACCAGCCAGTAGGGGAAGAACATGTCCCTGCTGAGCTTGTTCCCCTGCCAGGACAAACTTGGAGGTATGGGATGGGGCTATGGGGAAGGAGGAGGCCCCAGGTCCTGAGAATGACCACTAAAACTAGAACCTGCCAGGGTAGGGAGGCTTGGAGGGACTGTGGGCAGTGCAACAGCCCCATAAATGCCAAGACCAATGATCCCCTGGTGAAAGGTGGGTAGGAGGCTCCATAACCTCCAGCTAACATATGCACGTACACAGTCCTGGCTGGGGAAAGCCCAGACCTGTCACGTCTTTGACAGGTTGGTTGCAGTGCAGTTGTGAGGCTCCCAGTGTGCTCAGATTAGCTGCCCGGGATGCCAGCTTTCAGGTTGAAAACCCTTCGTCAGGCTGAGGAAGTACCTGCAGTTGGTGTGTCTCCTCATTCTGAATGGAAGGAATACTAAAGAAGCCAGAGGCCGGCCTGGCTGAAGTTGGCTTCAGTTCTGGTGATGAGGTTAGGTGTTTGTTGGAATGTACAAACCACTTTTCAGAGCTGGGCCTATGAACTGCCCTTCATCAGCCTCCTAGGAAGCAGGTACAGAAACTCATGGACTCAATATAGACAGTGAAATTTTGGTAGAAATGACAAGTTATAGCCTGTTTCGACCTTCCCCATGATATCCTATGAGTGAAACATCAATACAGGCTCGAAACATGAAACTGTTTCAACGAAACAACATGGAACAGCCATTTCGACTCAAAACAAAAGTTGAAACGGAATGCTGTTCCATCGAACCGTTGAAATGCTGGTCGAAACGGAACGCTTCTGTTTTGCACAGCCCTATTATATAGACTTTGAAATGACCTCTTGAAATAACCATAAATCTTTATTGTTTGTCCGTCAATTACTAGATTTACAGAACGATGGCAGTACAAGATCAGAAAATGCACATATGAAAGCTAAGTGTATACTCAACAGAATAATTGGCTTTTTTTCTATTGTTTCTCAAGAGCACCAATAACCTAATGCTGTGTGCACAAAAGTTAAAATATGCAAAATAAAGAGGTCCCTGAAAATATAAAAGCCCAAACTGTGACAGGGTTGATTACCTGGAGCTCTCATAGTTTAACAAGTACATAGTCCTTTTCAAAATATAACCTAGCATTAGGAAAGACGACAAATCTCTCAGCTCTGGCAAATTTATTTATTTAATTATTTATTTTAGATTTATAAAGGTCATTGCCTTTAAAATATGTGCACTGAACTGTGACACAGCAAGATTTACGTTTAATCTCAGGTATAATTACCAAGTTTTGCACTCTGAGCAAAACCCGGCTAGAGACCTGGGGGCTGGGGAGTCTGTCTGGCTGCCCCAGTTGTTGATGCTATTGCAGTGGTGTGATGTCCCTGCACCCAGTTGCTGCTGCTACATCAGTGATATGGGGCTGCTGCTAGGCCTGTGTGAAGCGGCTAGTATTCACCTGGGATTCGACCGATTCAGGGGAAAATTATTTGATTCGGTGATTCAAATCACTGTCCCGAATCGATTCAGCCTAATCTGATTCAGAGATTCAGCTGCCACCAAATCTCAGAATCTCTGAATCACCCAGGCCCATCCACCACCCGCTCCCCCAGCCCTGACAGTGGCTGCCCCACCCACCCCAGCTCCTGGCTCTTTGAAAAAAAAAATCCCCGACTCACTGGCAATCCCCGCTGCCCCTCAATGCCCCATGCTTCATGAGCAGTTCCACATAAGCCCCCTCCCGCTGTCCCAGCCCCCCACACCCCATGGCTGCCCAGCCCAGCTCACCCCAGCTCTAACCCTTTAAGGAAAAAAGAAACCAAGAAAAACTTCCAGGCTCACAAGTTCCTGCCAGTGGGGGGCGATCCCTGCTGCCCCTCACTGCTCCGCACTATGTGGGGGGCTCTGCACAAGCCCCGCAAAGCCCCAAGGCTGCTGCAGGTGCCAGTAAGTCCTGGAGTTTTTCTTGTTTTTTTTTCTTAAAGGGCCGGAGCTGGGGAGGGTGGGGCAGCCATGTGGGCAAGGGTGGCGGGCGGCTCATGGGGCTGGGGGAGCAGGAGTGGGGGCTGGGGGCTGGCAGAAGTCCCCTCATGGTCCCCCCTCATGGTCCCCTTCCCCCTCCAGCACCCCCTACTTACCAGCTCCGAGTCCAGCTCCAGGTTCCTGCTGTAGTGGGCAGGGACTGTCCGAATGAAGGTTCAGAGAGCTTTGAATTGATTCAGACCTTTTTATTGGTCCCCTGATTCAATTTAGATTTGGGGATTCGGCCACTGAATCAGGCTGAATCTCCTTCGAATCAAATCAGCACCCAAAGTTTCGCACAGCCATAGCTGCTGCTGCTGCTGCTGCTACTGCTGCCAAATTGTGTATTCACGGAAGGCTGCTATTCTGGTGTCCTCTCTAAGTCAGTGTCTGGGGCTGGTGCCCCCCATTCACCCACCCCTAATTATATTATTGCATTTACTCTAAGCCAGGTGAGAATATCTGGTTAAATTGGTCCATTCATATTCTCAAATTGAGCAGAATTTGAGATTCTTACTGTTGAAATACACTGAAAAAGTAAAACAAAGACAGGTAGGTATTGGTTTCAAACATCTTCACCATAAACATACTTGTCATCTACTGACAGATTTGTGTCAAGCTGTTACAAAAAATCCTTCTTCTAAAAATGATTACTAATAACTAAAGTATACATATATCACTCCTAAAAATCATACCAGGAAGTGAGACATGCACAGTAATTTGTCAATGAATCTTGAAATAAAGAAAACATTGGTTTTGATGTAGTAATTCACCAGAGATTTGACTGATTCTCTCTCATGTTTCTCCAAATGTTGTTTCTGACTACATCTTGGATGACAACTTTTGAAATCATATTAACATAACTTCAGACACACCAGACAATCCAGTGAAAATGGGCAAATAATTTGATTTAAGAATATTTTGTAAATCAAGAGCCCTCCATCTATTCAGTAAATAAAAGTGTTTACATATATGATATTAAAACTGGAATAAAATCTAACACTTGTCCTTTCAAATGAAATACATTTTGGGAAAGTAGGATTTTGGAGTCTCTTCAGTTGTGTACACATGTTCAAATGACCTGGCAGAATACACCTGGGTTTGTTCTGGTAGAAATACTTACCCAGAGACACCTGAATAAATATTTGAATGCTGCATCCTTTAAGAGCACACAGCTTGCAGTGTTGACACTGCACAGCCAGGAGGGCCCTGTGTACACAGCTGCCTGGCAACAGATGGCAGCAGTGCACAGGGCAGTCATGATTGGCTGACCCAGACTGCTCAGAGTCAGCCTGTGTCTCTGTGTAGCACAGTGTGGGATTGTGAAGGGGGCATGTTCTACTCCCTGATTGAGTGAAATATTTGCATCTAGCCCAAGTGACATAATATCTGAGGGATAAGGGGTGTAGGTGGGAGAAGGGGCCAGTGGGATCAAAGCACCCTGGGATACTGGAGGACTGTGCTGTGACTCTATGCTATGGCTTCTTTCAGAAAGATAAATTCTACAAGCATTAACTCTCAGGAGAAACTCTCTCAAGAGTGATTTAATTCTGGTTGTTCCCAAATTATTCTTCACTTGGAAAGGCATTTTTACTCTGGGAGAAAAATCTTGAATGTCTCTACACTCATGGGTTCTCCTGGGAGAGCAGCAACTCTCACAGAAGAAACTGAATGTCTCTACATAGCCTCAGTCAACTCTGCATAGCAGAATCTATGGTACCTACAGAACCTTGCTGGATCTCTTTCTTTCCATAGTGAGTTAAATGAATCTTAATACCACTCCATTGAAACTGAAGTGAATATAGGCTATTAATCTAATTTATCTAACCAATCTAATTCCTTTTATTCAAGAATTCAGGTTCCAATCCTGCAAAGTCTGAGGTGAATAAATAATTTGACCCTTAGCAGTCTTATTTAAGACAGTGAAAGTTAGATGTGTGAGCAAATATGAATATTTGCATATTAAATAATACTGATCCAACAACAACATGGGGTTCAAGGTACAATATAGCACTTTGAGACCAGAGATGAATGTATTTCTCTCTCAAATATTCAACCATATATTTTTTCTAACGTATAAAGCCATAATCATCAAAATATACATCAAAGCATTTCCATTCTTTAACAGTTAACAGACACACACACAGACACACAAAACTGTGTGTAACTATTACCCACATTTAAGGACTTCAATCCTATTTAATATTTCATGATTAATAGCATGACACTAATGTATTAGCTATGCTTCAAATGTATGAACCTTAATATTCCATTTTTCATTTGATTATCAGTAAAGTCTACTTACCAGAATTTTTGTTGTATAAGCACTGTTGACTGCAATGGCATTAACCAGCAATTCTAGGGTTTTTGCTGGTATAGCTTCTGGGTCAGGGATCTCTTTGTGGTAGACATCACCAATGTAAGCTTGTACAACTGTCATCCTATTGGTTGTTAGTGTCCCTGTTTTGTCAGAGCAGATGGCTGTAGCATTACCCATAGTCTCACATGCATCTAAGTGGCGTACCAGATTGTTATCCTTCATCATTTTCTGATGGAAAACAAGATAAAAAAATCTTCAAAATTTGCTTTTACAGACTTTAAATACCTTTAATAGTAGCAAAAATACATACAGGCTGGATTATTAAAATGTTGTTCTTGTTTAAAACAGAGTTGGGACCAATTAGTGACCATCTCTTGAAATACTTGCCAATTTAATTTTCAATGAGTGGATGTAGTTATCTCAACATTCATAGTGTATCTCGTCTAAGAAATTTCTGCAACACCAGTTTAACATGTTTTTAGTTATCAGCTTAGGTATTCAAATTATTTACCTATCCAAAGTATATGCTAGTAAATAGGTTATTTTTCAACAGTTATCACTGTAACAAATAAACAGGATACATCTGATTTCCTTATAGTTTTTTATATAGATATCTGTTTTCTATCAGCAAAGAGCTGTAAAGGTTCAGATTTATTTTGTAGTAACTAAGTCTGAAAATGAACTTCTTACTAGGTACAAATTAGCAAAGATAAAAGTATAAAAAGAGATGTTTAAAAAGCTATAGCAAATTCCACAAAATTTGAGAACTATTAATTTATAAACTTTTAAATGCTTATTTTAATATTGAACCAAAACATTCTTACTCTGACAAGTACTCTATTACAAGAAGCTAGCTATACTCACTTAGATTCTGTTGTAGTTAACCAGATCCCATTATTATTGAATTCATGCCATGAATATAGGTGATCTTAAAGCAAAAAAATAAAACTAACCAGTTGAGCCATGCATCTTGCAAAAATCTGTTACCATGGATAACTGAATCCTTATCTCTGTTGCATTAGCATCACTATGCAACAGATTATTAAACCTGTACTCATAGAGCAGTATGTTACTCTAACTGAAGGTCCACTGAAGTCAGTGAAATTTTTATAGCATAAGATAGTAAGCAACTGGCATCACAATCTGGCCCTGCAGGTAGAAATTATATATATATATTTTAATGCAACTGATTCAGAACATGGTTTGCAATATTTAATGGTCAGAACAAGGAAATAAGAATGTGAATATCTTCTTTCTCTTTCAAATTTAGGTGCAGCTTTGGTGTGTGACTATGTGCAAAACATTTCAAATGTTCATGCTCCCTCTGTGCACCTCAGTTTTTCTTTACATACAACAAGAAAATAAAATGTTTTATTTTAATAATTTTTAATAATAAATTTATTTTGTCAATTGTCAGATGAATGCACACATAACAAATAGATGTGTAATGTAATCTTAGGACACACTTATGAGACTTATCCACAACTCCAGGTTTTAGAATTTCAATTTTAAAGCCCTTAACATTTCTGATAGAATAATTTATATTAGCTTTGGATACTCTGGGCACTTTTACAAGTGCTCCAGGGGTGGTGGGGAATGGGGACTCTGAGAATTGCTCTAATTAAAGCTCCACAGTGTCTCATGTACCAATGTCCCTGTGCTTCAAAATGGTGGTGGGGGCACTTGAGCTGAAGCTCATTCAACAAGCTTTAGTTCAAGTGCCCCCACCACCATTTTTTCAGTGTGGGGACACTGATACACAAGACACAGGAGGCTTCTGGAGTACAGTAATTACCACACTCCAGTAGACTCAATTAATTGAGCATGTGTCGACGCGCTATAATTACAGCACGTTGAAGCAGCTTCCGCACTCATGTACAGGCACCCTCTAACAGCATTTAATAAAATGCATTAAAAAACTTATAGAAACTGCCTTCCTCAATATAGAGAGTTTTAAAGAAAACAAATCCTTCTCAAAGCTATATTTTTTTACAAGGAAGTTTTAAGCTACTGATAGCCAAGTTTGGGGTCAGGAAGAAATTATATTTACTAGGTCAGATTAAAATAGGCTGGGGGTGTGGGAGGTCAATTGTTTTTTGCAGTAACATGGGGCATTCTCCTTAGATCTTCTAAGCATAACTGTAACAGGGCACTTATGGTTCCTGTTACTTTAAGAAAAAAAAGATTGCAGAAAGCATAATCAGCAATCAAGTGAGACACCTGACTAAAAGGGGGCTGGACTTAGGGTGTATATAAGCCCAGGGCCTGAGCTGGGCAGGAAGTCTGGCCCAGAATGGTGATGTAAGAAGAGCCACAGAGCAGGCTACAGAGAGACTCTTAATAGATGCCAAGAATGCCTGTGGATAATACACCCTTAGGGCTGGGATAATGCCAGCAATTTAGGGTGAGATTAAGGGGAGGTGGAGATCCAAACAGGCCAGTAGGGCTTGGGAGTAGGGCCAGAGGTCTGGGAGTAAGGTTAGCCTGGGAACAGGGCAGAGGAAGGATAGACAGAGGTCTAGGAGTAAGACCCAGAGCCTGGGAGCAGGGCAGAGACAAGGGGCTAGAGACCTCTGGGTCCAGAAAGGGGCCAAGATGAATGAGGCTAGAGAGACTAGGGCCCATAGTGTGGCTGAAATGGATGGGGATAGGAAGCCTAGAGCAAAGAGTCAGGCTGAGATGAGGCCGGGGAGCCCAGGACCCAGGGTGGGGATGAGAAAGTGAGGTGGATCTGGGCCAAGGGCCCACTAGATGGATGATATTTGATTGATTGGTAACATCTGCAAGGCTTGGGCATGGCTAAAAAGGGAGAATGCTTAAAAGTCAGGGTAAAGCAATGGCTCAGATGCCACCAGAAGATATCACAGCCACCTCTGTCACCAGCCTTTGTTACAATAACAAACTACTTCCCTGTTGCTGCAGTGGCAGAGAATATTGTTCCTCTGTACCTGAAGGTTCACAATAGTGGTATTGGAGCTTCTTTCAGTTGATGAATGACTGTGAATTCAGTGTAATGCACTTGAGGGCTGAGAAGGCCCCTTCCAGTATGTTCCTAAAATAATCAGATGCTCTAATATCCTCTTAATACATCTTGCCCAAAGAATATGAGAGAGCCTACTTTATGGGCAGGATTCTATTTTATTTTACATGCCCAAATTACAGTTACCCAACCATGTAATCATCATTTTTGGCCTTTACACACAGTTTGTGATCCTACAAGTAACATAATGATGGGTGGGCCTGGGGGAGGGGAGGGTGCTGGAATGGGGATAGGAGGTACCTCGCCACCCTCCCCATCTCCCTGCCTTCACCTTCCTTTGCATTCTGCACCTTCCCTGCAGAGAAACAATAGTCACATGTGCTGCTGGAGCAACAGCCAGACATTCACTGCTCCTGGGGAGACATTACTTCCTTTTTGTCACAGAAAACAGGTGTATTTTTGACTGGTCAACATGGATATCACCAGCAAAAAGGAGATAACATCTCCCTCCTCCCTGTTCAGCAGCAGCAAACTTCCAGCCTCTACTCCTGCAGCCTGTGCCACTGATACTTTTCTGCTTTCCCTGCTGCCAGGCCTCTCTAGATAAAAGGCCTAGTATCTGAGTCCCCTACTTCCTGGATGAGTGCCACAGTCACTTAGTTATTAAGCTAAAATATGAGAGGTCTCCCCTACCTCTAAATCCTCTTGGGCCTCCGATCTTTTGTAATTGCATGACTTATGCTCATCTAGAGCAGGTGTTTAGTTTCTTGTTTCATGGTTCCTGCCTATTTGTTCCTAGTGTCCTGGGTCTCTGGATCCTCTGCTTTGGACCCCCAGTAGTGACTGTAATCTAGATCTTTGCCTCCTGTTCTTGGCCCCACTCCCAGCCCAAGCTGACTGCCTACATTTTTGATCCCTTACAGACCTCAGCCTCCTGAACCACCTGCTCCTGATCCCCTGGGTTGTAAACCCAAATGCCTATGTCTTGGTCATGCACCTGAAAATAAGAGCCAAAAATGGCAGTTACGCAACTGGGTAGTGCCCATTTGGGCACAAAAAGTAAAATAGGGGTTTATTCTAAATGTCTTAATTGCTTGTTTAGTATACTTCTCTGAAGTAGAGTTTTTGGAATGTATGTCAGTAACTTATTTTGCTGGCACTTTGCTTAGAAGTACTTTCAATAATGAAGCAATGCCAAACTTTTAAAGCAGCTTCACTAACAGCAGAGATGCTGATTATATTGATAAATATGACACAACTTTCTTCCATACAGTAATGTTAAAGACTGTGCTACTAGCAAATTAATTCATAGTAAGAGAATTGATAGATATGATATTTTCCCCATTTATTGTTTAAACTGTTGCTCACCTTGACAGAATAAGCGAGAGAAATAGTGACAGCAAGTGGAAGTCCTTCAGGAACAGCCACCACAAGCACAGTGACACCAATGATGAAGAACTTAACAAAATACTGTACATAGACAGGAGTGCACTCGGGCAACCACTGCTTCTTGTTGATCACGAAAGTCTCAATAGCAAAGTACAGTACCAAAATGATTACAGTTATGGCAGACATCACCAAACCTGCAAATATAAAAAAATGACTTACAAGGCAAAATATTAAGAAATAAAATCATATTCAGCTTGAAACTGATATTTAATCTGATATGAACCTACCCTTAAGTGAAATGACAAAATTCAGCATCAGTGTTGAATGCTATAAGTAGAATATAGCATAAGCATAGTCTATATCATACGCATAGTCTATAAGTAGGAGGAGTATATACTGAATCATAGAATTGCTATCGTCTATAAGTAGTCTATAAACAAAGTATATATATAACATAAGTATAGCATAAGGATAGTACTAGTTATAAGTAGCATCAGTGTTAAATGTTATAAGTAGACTATATTACCTCAGTTATTTCTGGCATTTCCATGTATATGAGAGAATTGAACATTACACACTTGTATGTTATCACATCTATTTTTTTTAATAACTCTACTCTTAATGTCTTATTGTGCAGACTTGGAAATTGTTTCTTTTTCAAGTTTCACCCTTATCTATACTGTTATAACAACTTGAAATTACCAAATATTATTATTGTTATTACCTCTTAGATATATATACTAAGCTGTATTTTCACGTGCTTTTGTTTATATAAAAGCATATTTTCATAGACTTTAAGAAAATATCCATTTACATGTATTAGAAATTAATATACTATATTTAAGCCTATTTGAATGCAGTGGCTGGGCAAGATTACCAATGTAAAGATGCATTTGCCTCCAAGACATGTATTTATTTTTTATATGGAGAATGATGAATTTTTATTCCTAAAAATTCTGAAGTATTACTGTTTCCAAAGTAGTATTTTACAGCCAACTAGTAAGCATTTTTCAGTGATTTATAACAGTGGAGAAACCTAACATTTTATCAACACTGGGAAATCCTTTTTACCTTACTCCAAATAGCTACATTCACACTGTCTTTCGAATTTATATGCTACACTTTAGAGTCATTATTTTATGTGTGTAACAATATAAGGTACACTTTGGTAATTTTGAATTGTTGTAATTCTTATAAATTAAATGACACTTAACAAGACTTTACTGGGGGAAAGCTGGGAGTCTGCTGTGGACTCCGGTAATGGGAGACCCCCCCTAATCTCATTATAATGAGGAGATTGTGTAAGAGAAAAAAAGGGGAGCTGTCCCCTTAAGGACAAAGGCCAAATTGTCCTGGCCAAAAGGGGGAAGCCCGGGGGCCTAATTTTAGGGACAGCTGGGCAAATAGGCACTGGCAGAGGGCCAGGGAGAGAATATCCTTGGCAGCAGAGCTGCAGAAGCTATAGTTATAAAATGCTTGTGAGCCAATTTGGCCCAAGGGACTGCAGGGCATGGGCAAGATGGCCCTGTAGATTACTTGTACAGATTAGAGGCTGATGAGCCCAAAGTGCTGATTGCAGGGGCAGGGTGATAAACCTGAAAGACCTGTGAATGATGGAGCAAGGTCTGATAAGGCCAGACATTGCAAGGGCCTAAGGTCATGTGTAGACGAAACAGGGGGTACGTGTGCAACACACTTTAAAGTGGGCTAAATGCTTTTGCACCGCTTTAATGGTGTTGGTGTTTGCACATGTCAGCGGCGTATTGCACTGTAATTCCAGCCACTGTAGCATATCCGGTGGCGTGATGCACCTTAAATGACTTTGGGGCCCAGCAAACTAAAACTCTTCTAAGGAGTTTTAGTTTGCTGCCCTGCAGCTGCAGAGTGAAGCACCAGGCTCTGTGAAGCTCAGGGGCTCTGCAGAAGGCCCATGCAGGCAGCCTGGGAAGGCAAGCTCCACCCAAGGGAAAAAAAAAGTTGTGAGCCTGATCCTTCTCATCCCTCACCCTTGGAACCTGTCTGCCTGCCTGAGATGTATAGGGGCCCAGTGCTTCCCTCTGTGGCTGTGGTGCCTCCCGGGATGGCACAAGCTGGGGAGGCAAGCAGGTACCAGCTGGGGGTTGTTGGCACCGCTGCCACAGAAGGAAGAACAAGCCCCCCTCCCCAGCCTAGGGACCGCTCCACCCACTGGCAGCTTGCCCTCCCCTCCCTGCTGCCAGAGAGGCAGGTAAGTTTGGGTGTATGCATGACATGGGGGTTTAAAGGGCCCTAAAGTGAAGCGGTGTTTTTAAAAACCCACCAATTCAATTTAGGGCCCCCATTTCATCTGCACATGCCCGAAGTGAGGGCAGCCCTACAATGCGAAGAGTGAAAGAGAGGCACCTAAGGTTTCTCTCTGACTGAACTTCAGGCCTACTCCCTAACAACTGAGAATGTCAAAGGTGCAGCAGCTTTGTAAATCTAGGCTGTGAGAATGTCAGACAGACAGGTGAGGGCTAAGTGCCTAGAGGTATCAGACAACACTGGAGTTTTATGGACCTACTACAACACCCCAGAATCAGATTTGAATATGGGCAAACTCCTCTATAATGCTATTACTTTATAAAGATATTCAGCAACTGTGTCATTGTGGGAGAGTTTATACTTCTGATATATATTAGAGAAAAAATGGTATATCTAATATATTCCTGGATATGAACAATGACAGATTTCTTCACTGAATGGTAATGGAAACAAAGAGTATACAAATTCCCATCAGAAAAATTAACCCATGATTAAATTATCAAGATTTGAAACATTTTAAATTGGACAGAAGGATAAATAGAAGGAAACCTATAATTATAGCACTTTATTTTAGAAGGGAGAACTTAGAAAAATTAAGGAAATTATTCAATTGAGTTGACTGAAGAGCTCAAAGACTTAAATATTTTGAAGTGAAAGGTGTAAAAGCTATCTGGGACTTGCCTCCCAAGCAAGGTGAAAAAATACAGATGTAAATGGACAAATAACCACTTCAAAAAGACTATCAAGCATAAGCAAACAGCCTATAAGGAATTTTTAAAGGGCTTGATCAGCAAAGAAAGCTACATTTAGCATTCAAGAAGTACTAGAATACAGTGAGAATTGCCTAACGTCAAGGTAAGTCAGACTTTACGAAAGAAATTATAACAAATAGCTCACTGCTTGTGAGCTGATGTGGCTCATGGACTGCCAGGCAGGAAGGGGGAGTGGCAAGGAGGTTCTTCAGGCAAATGCATAACTGGGAACAAAGAAAAGAGGGATGTAATTAGGGAGGACCAAGCCAGACATAAGCCTGATTTAGAGGGGTGTCAGCAGCATCCAGCCCTGCCCTGCACCCCTGTTCTTCAGTGCTTGGCTTTCCCCACCCCTCAACATACTCCCCAGCACTTGACACTCCCCGTGTTCTCTGGTGCTTGTCACCTCCTCTCCCCCTCTCTATCACTTGAAAGCATGTCTGCCCAGATCACCAAAATTATTAGTCAGGCCTCCAGAGTTGGGCCTTTATGCAATGAGGATGAAAGAGATTAACAATCAGCTCTGCATGGCACAAAACCTCAACAAATACCTCAGTTTTCAATAAGAATAATAATGTTGAAAAAGTGGGCAAAACTATGGGAGTGAGGGTATGAAATGGAGGTTGCCATCCGAGACAAGTTCTGAACTGTTCAAGTCAGTGAATCTAGATAATATCCATCGCAGAGTTCTCAAAGAACTGGGACAAGATATTGCTGGTCTAAGAGGAAGAATTCTTAGTGAATCTATAAACCTTGGAGAGGTACCATGTAACTGGAGAACAGCAAACATAGTACCTATTTTTAAAAGGAAAAAAAAAGGTTACCTGGGCAGCTACAAAACTCATTAATCAGATCTTTATACTATGCAAGTCTATATAATAAATTTTGAAGGAAAGTATAATTAAACTGCAGGAAAATGGGATAAAGTGATACATGGGTTTACTATGTAGATTATGCTAGATTAGCCTCATATCTTTCTTTGAAGAAACAATTGACTTTCTAACAAAGGGAATAACATACAACTAAACTATCTGTTTTTTATTACAGGATTGATACAGTGCCATGGGAAATTATTAGGTATGCTAGGAAAGATGGGGAACAGTACAAGAATTACCCAGTGAATAGAAAACAGGATAAGGAGAGAGCTCAACATTTTACATTGAAATAGAAACTATGAGACTAAAGAGAGATGACTATAGTAGATATCCTTAAGGATTAGTTTTAGGATCAGTCTTTTTTAGTATTTTTATTAATAACCTTGGCACAAAAAATGAGAATGTGCTAATTTAATTTGCTGATGTACTAATTTAATTTGCAATATTAGGAGGCATCACTAATACAGAGAATAGGAACATCAAACAAATAACTGGATGGCCTTGAATAGTAGGGTAAAAAGACATGGGATGCAATTTCATGACATTTATTTTGTCCTAACAACAGGAAATTCTGCTAGTTCTAGTAATAGTTGGTCACAAATGTGACTATGAACCAGCAAAGGAAAAAGGGAAAATGTGATCCTAAAGTGGGTCATATTTTCAAAAGGCAATGAACATTACCCATCATTTGAAAACTAAATGCTGAACCCAAACCAAGATAATTTTTGGCTGATTTAGTTTTGAAATATTTATTTAGCTCTAACTCAGTAAGTAGAACATTTGTGGGAACCAGGGGAACCCCCAGAGAATCATCCCCAAGCACTGGGGAAAAGCAGAGTGGCTCGGTAAGGGCTGGAGGCATTCCCTACTTACCTGTAGGGACATCAGTATCAGTGGTGGCAGTGGAGCGGCAGCAGCAGCAGACGCAGCAGTAGTCATGTTTTAGAAGCGTGTGCTCGCTGTGTATAGGTGGGTGTGCTGAGACATCCAGTATAACCAGATGTCTGGTGCCAGCCCAGGAAAAGGAGGGCGCAGTACAGACACAATGCCATGCACGGGCAGAGCAGGGGCTGCTCCAGGAGCAGAATGCAAAGCTGTTCCCTCTGATTCTGGAGAGGGAAGCAGCCAGAAGACTGAGTGCTTGAAGGAGCACTCAGCATCTGGTACCCAGGCTGGGACTTCTTTATGGCAACTAAAATGGCAGGGATCTTATCACTAGGAGTGAAAAGGCACCAACAGTTCCCTAATGAGACCCTAACCAGGTCCTTTGGAGAAGCAGGGCCATGGGGCCAGAATGTAAGTCAGTGCCTGGTAGGGCCTCAATTGATTTATTAACCCTGTAATTGCTTTATTATTTTTTAATTAACCCAGTGGTGGGGAGTGTTACAGGCCCGGTGGGACTGAATTGAGGAATAACCGGCCAGACACCTAAGGGATCAATGAGTCTGACTCAAAGGCCAGAAGTCCTCTGTTAAATTGGGAGGACTGTTATTTAGGCAGGAGAATATTGTCGCAAGCACGAGAGGCTCCTTGGTATTGAAGATCCTGGAACTTGAAAACCAGGACTGAGAACCTGTGTCTGTGGTTGGGATCTGGCTTCCAGTGTCTGGGTATTTTTGTTCCCTCTTTATTTAGGACCAGTCCTATGACCTTAAATGCCAGGTTGGCACATGGACAGGGTGAAGGAAAGGCAGGAGCCCTGAAAGAAATGCCATCCACATGCAGAGCTCCAACTACCATTTGGAACTTTCTACTTATTTAAATAAAATCAAGACATGGTGGGCAAGATTAGAAGGGTGGCTCCCAAGTGCGTGTACTAAGGCCAAGCTCTTGGCCTACGAGCCCAAGACTGTAGAAGTCTCAGGCTCTTGAGCCTGGTGGTACTGGACCTATCTCTAGTGCCATGTACAACATTCAAAGTTCAATTATAAAAAATACCTAAATCTGAACACAGAATTGTTTATTTATCTTCCAGGTATAAGAAATCGAGTTAAAATAACTTCTGGTAGGCTAGACTGACAAAATTTGGGTTCTTGATCATATGGGATAGACTCAACCAAACAATTTACCAATGAAGTTTGAGAGGACAGCCAATATTACATGGACTACTTAATATCATGTGAATTTTCCCAACAAGTGAATCTTTTCCAGAAAAACACCAGAGGGCTTATCTACATGTGCCCCTATGGCGCCATTGTTACCGTATCATGGTATGGTATGGGCATGGTAAGAGCCCATAGTGCGCTGTACCAGTGGTGCATGGTTATTTTTAGCAGCTATGTCGCCATAGCAATACGCAATAGTGAGGGAGTGAGTTGCTATGACGATGTATTGGAGGTGTCATGGTTTTTGCCTGCACATGATATGTTGCTGTAGCACGTTACTACAGCAACATAGCATCATGTGTAGACATGCCCAGAGAGTACCACAAGTCAGAGTATATCCAGATAGGACAAGGAAGTTGGCATTTGTGAATATAATACAATCTGGGAACAGCTTGTTTACTGATATAGCTGAACTTACAAGAAGGCTGTTTTTAAGCACTTTTATCATTCCAGTAAAATTATTTATATTGTTGCACTACAAACACTGTCAACAGCAGATTTATTTTTCATCCATTTTTGAAAGAATGGCATAAAAGTATGTCACATTTGGGGCAAAAAAATTACTAAGTGGGGAAGGGAAGCAAAAATTATGCCAGAGTCCATAGAGGAAGAATAGAATATTGCAGAGATCCTGAGAAATTATTATAGATTTTGGATGAACATTCTCAGAAGACTTGATGGCACAGAAAATTAAATAGAGTAATTACTGCACATGGGAATACTGACTAGGAGAAGCTGCACTTCATTCTGATCCAAATATTCAAAACAATCCAAGTTACTTAAAACTTCTAGTCTCTAAGTTTCTAAACTAGAAGAGTATTAAGTGAGAAAAGAAAAAGATCTTCAGTATTCTAAGGTGCATCTGCATGAGACATTTAGGGCATGCAAAACTAATACACTCCACAGCAAGATAGCACCAGTTCTAGCCTGCTGCAGAGTTTCTTCATGCGTAGCAGGGCATGTGTAGATGCCAACCCGGCTAGCTGGGGCACAAGGGTCCTTCAGTCTTGGGGCTGCCTGCCAGCTAGCCCTACACTGAAGGACCCTTGTGCCCCAGCCAGCACCTCTGCAGCACACTGAGTCCGGTCAGAGCAGCCCCAGGCTGGCATGCTGACCCCTCTCCCTCCCAGGTCCCCTGCCAGTCAGAGCTGCTGCAACCAGTCTCAGTGTTCTGCACTTCCACGTGCATGTGTAAACTGCCCACCCAGAAGCTTCTGGGGAAGCAATACAGTGCAAAGCAATAAGTTCCACAATGTATTGCTGCCCCTAATGACACAAGTAGATATGCCCCTATAGTACAATGGCCATTTATTTCTAAATAATCTTTCAATTAAACACAATCTCTTTGCAATAATTTCCTCTGAATTTGTTCTATGTGGTACTCTTTATAATATGTTATCTAGCCAGCTACCCATTCATACCTGCTTTTCCTATCTGGACTGCCAGTTTGGTCAGCTTTCCCTGAAGGACAGATTTCTCTTTCTTATGCATGTTAGCTTTCTTCTTGTCTTTGTCATCTCCATCTCCCCCTTCTGCACTCTTCAGTGGTTGCATCTCCATGGCAGCAGCTCCATCCTGCTGCTTGGCTAACAATATAGAAGAAAACTGTTACTCCAGAACTTTTATTTTATATCATTTTTATTGAATTGGGTAGGTGAAAGCCCTAATGTAGGAACCAATTCTACATGTATGATTACCTATGAATATATTCAGCAGAAACCAATCCTGCATGGTTATGTGCAGCTCTACCAGGTGTGTGTGTGTGCGTGTGCACGCGCGCGTGTGTGTGTCTGTGTGTAGACCACCTACAAAGTCCTGCCATCTGCTTTACAGATAACAGTATCTCAAGATTACAGTATTCCTTAAATTGTCCCCAAAGGTTAATTGCACTACCTTTATACTTATTGCCCAATAACTAAGCTATCAGGCATAGATGAAAAATGCCTGTTTTCATCCTTTAAAGTCCCAAGCTATATAAGAAATTTTCGAGAATACCTCACATACTAAGGCAGACAAGGTTCCTTGGGTGAATTTGATATCTTTTATTAGACCAACCCAAATGGTTGGAGAATAGTTATTAAGCAAGCTTTCGGGTTCAAAAACCCTTCGTCAGGCTAAGGAAGCTGCAGCAGTTGGTGTGTGCTCTTCCTGGATGAATGAAAAGTCACATACTAAGTAAACTTTATTTGGGCATCTAAAGCTAAAATGTTAATTTTTTAAGGGCAACCACATTTCAGTGTCTGTGTATGTGTTTTAGAAAGATAAAATTACATAAAATGGAATGGGATGAGACAGTAATCTTTTCTGTTCAAATTTGACATTTGCTAACTTTTTTTTTAATGAAATACCCTGATTTGACCTGAAACCAAGTTTTCTACAAGTATAAGTGGCCCTTTTATTTAATAGTCATCACCATAGAAGATTTAGAGTTTATCTAATCAGTTTTGAGTCTATCTCACACCTTGTAGGAATGCATCTAAATAATCTTTGGGGAAACAAAAAGGTATATATTACTAATTTGTTTATTTGGCAGATTCTAAAGCAAACCTGGTAGCTGATTTCTCTGGCATAATGAAAAAGCAATTAAAACTTCACTAGAGAGGAAGCAGCATGTTTACATTAATGGCTTTTGAGAATATGCAGTCTATTAGAAACTCCTAAAACTCTTAGGGCATGTGTAGACAAAACGGGGGCCCTAAATTGAAGCAGTGGGTTTTTAAAAACACCACTTCAATTTAGGGTGAAGTAAACCCCTGTGTCATGTACACACATGTCTTACCTTCCTCTCCGGTGGTGAGGAGGGGAGGGTGAGATGCCAGAAGGCAGAGAGGTCCCAGGGCTGAGGGGTGGGGGAGGCTGGTGCTTCCCTCTATGGCAGTGGCGCTTCCACCCCAGGGGCACCTGCCCACAGGTACCCTGCTCGGGTGGTCCCAGGGGGCACCACAGCTGTGGAGCAAAGGACTGGGTCCCTGTGCAGCTCATGCAGGCAGGCAGGTTCCAAGAAAAAAAAAAAGATCAAGCTCACTGCTTTCTGGTTTTTTTCCTTCAGTGTAGCCTGCCTTCCCGGGCTGCTGCCAGTCTGCCTTCATAGGCTTCCTGCACAGTCCCTGAGCCACACAGAGCCTGGTGCTTCACTCTGCGGATGTAGGGCAGCAAACTAAAACTCCTCAGAGGTGTTTTAGTTTGCTGCCTCCCAAAGTCATTTAAGGTGCATTACGCCGCTGAATGTGCTACAGCAGCTAGAATTAATTCGCAATACACCACCGACTTGTGCAAACACCAACATCATTAAAGCAGTGCAAAAGCATTTAGCCCACTTTAAAGTGTCATGCATACATGCCTCTTGTTTTGTCTACACACACCCTTAAATTTTAAATTAATCAACAATGGGTATGTATTTCTGCAGTTACTTTATGACACAAGTCAATGTGTATTGTTTTGCATTGTAACTGCTACATGTAGCATTATTTACCTTCTTCCTGGAAAAAAAAGTAGCTTTATACGCTATCAATAGACAACCAAGGATTATAAAATTTGAGGGGCAAATAGGATTGGGAGTATATTAGCAACAGATAGCATAAATCTGGATGTGCAAGAAGAAACCACTGAATGCAAAACAATTTTTGTAATATTAAAGCTTTATATTAGGGGTGTGTGAAGTGGGCCCTATTTGTTTTGAATTCAGCCCGTATCAAGGACAGTGATTTGATTTGTTGATTTGGATCACTGTCCCTCATTCTATTCGGCTGAATCTGAATCTGAAGATCCGACACTGATTCGGAGAATCAGTGATTCAGACATAGACACAACTTTAAATGTTTTTTCTACATACCCTGAGGTACCAGTGCAGTTTGTGAATGCTGTGATGCAAATGGAGCATCCCACAGGAGTGTGGGGCGGGGCCCTCCACATGCTTGGCAGCGAACCCAGATGTGGACTGGAAGTACTTCCGGTCCACTTCTGGATATGCTGGGGAGTGTGCAGGGCCCCCCACCCCCACCCCACGCCCCCAGCTGGCTCAGTGATCAGCAGTGGGGGGATCCCGGGTACCTCCCCCCCAGACCCAGGAGGAACCAGCTGCTGAGCCAGGGAGATACGGGGGGAGGGGGGCGGGAAGTGCGCTCCCCAGCAGACCCAGAAGTGGACAAGAAGTGCTTCTGGTTCACTTGCAGGTTTGCTGCTGAGCACTCTGGGGAACCCCCCACGCTTCTGTGGCGCACTCCATGCACCTGCTACCTAGTGGTATGTAGAAAAAAACATTTAAAGCTGTGTCTGTGTGAATCTCTGAATCTTTCTGAATCTCTCTGAAATGATTCGGAGGGTTCTGGTTCGATTCAGAGAGATTAAATGATCTTGATCTTCTAATCTGCTCAAATTCAGATGTGTTAAAATTCTGTACTCACAAGTTATTTTTCTTGCACTTCCATTATTTTTTTGACATGGTTCACTGTCCAATTTTTAAAAATATTTTTTCATTACAGTGAATGTTTGAACAAATATGATATTTTCCCATATACTGACAAATTACTACTTTACTTACTGAACAGAATCTAATTATAGGCTAAAAATAAAAACTCACAACCTGCTTAAAATGAAAGAAAGTTACCTTTATTCTGGCTGTTCTCCATATTCCCATCCTGCATTTTGCCTATATGATGAAAAATTATAACAGACAACAAAGAACAGACAATAAACAATCATCACACAGACAGAATGCCACAATGGGAATTGTGAATGAACATGTTTCAAATGCACATTTATGATCAATAGGCATTGTTATCATGTATTTATTTAGCAGCATGAACATACTAACTAGGACAATCTCGAAGAACTCCAACCAAGTTCAAAATACTTCTGGGTAAAATAGATAGATTTTTGTTCCTCTCTAGGAATAATAAATGGTAGTGTATAATCTGTGGGGAAATGAAAACCCAAAAGCACATTACTCAGCAAAGAGAAAAGACATATTATGGATGTTAGTTATTATGGGCTGTATCCTATTTCAGTTTTGCACACCCTAAATGGCACTCACTTAGCCACATAACTGCAATTTGGGGCATTTATGCACAGTTATCTTCTGAAATTAAAATGGAGGAGAAAAGTGGCACTTTTTAGCTCAGTAGTACTTGCCCAAGAAATTAAGACCCAAACTCTAGTCTTCCTTCAACTAGAGGAGATCTGAACTTGCATTTTCTCTTGTTAATAAAATCCTCCAACCAACTGAGCATGGGCCAAACATTAACCAGAAGTTCCCAGAACTCCTCTTGGAGATGGCCAACAGGGAAGGGATAATGTGTAAAGCCTGGAGGAAAGAAAGAAGCTAAAGAAAGGGTGGTTTAATAAATGCATGCTGCTCTGGAAGGGAGAGATCCTCCAGTTCTGTCCCTGGCCTCTGTCTCAGTCATGGGCAACTAGTGCCTCCTGAGTCAGGGGGGTACTTAGCCCCCAGCGGCCAGTCAGTGACTGGAGAGGGGTCCCCCCATGGCTGATAGTGCAGACGTGGAAGTGCCAGTGGCGCACCATTGGCACTTCCGGGCATGCTGCTGGCACTTCTGGACCAGCATGATCAGTGGTGGGGGAACCCTCCCCCCTCCCCCAGTTGGCGCAATCGGCTGTGGAGGGACCACGGGGATCAGTTCTCCTGGACCCCCACTCCCCGGCCAGTGCTCTTGGGGGGGGGCACTGGTGCTCTAACCTGCCCCCCCACCCCCCCGCACATTGCCAAAGTGAGGAATGCTGCTGTCAGGGAGCGTATCAGTGCTCTCAGGGGGTGCATGTGCACCCCCATGCACTCCCTATGCATTGCCACTGGTCTCAGTAGACCAGAAACTATCCCATTGCTGTTTATTCATATTATCCAATGAATGTAAAATGTTGGCTGCAGAAATGCTGTTACAGAAAGGGCTGGAGTGCAAGAACAACTCCCTTTAAGGATAGCAGTCACCTTACTGATCTACCATTACTTGAATCTGACTAAAGGCTGCACATGAATACTTGAATTTGCTTTCCCCTCTTGGCCCCACATAACTTTCACTGTGGGCCAGCTCTAGAGAAGATGTGTGATGCTTATTACACGACCCAGAGGTTAGAGTACTTTTCTTGGCAGTGGGAGATACAGATTAAAAACCTCTCTGACTGAAGGGGTCTGGCATGGTTGAATCCAGAGGGGGTGTGGTGGTACAGTTACAACTCCCTTTTGAACCATGCTGTGGGAGTGGCATCTGGGAACATTTTTACCAGGTGTTCTCCAACAGTCCAGGAGCAGGCTTAGGGAGGAGAAGCATGCCTGGTGCTGGTGCTGCCCCTGGTTGAGCCCAGCTCCCCATACAGCCTAGCTGGAGTAGGGCACAAGTGGCTCTTGAGCTCCCATTGTCCCTGCTTCAGACAGGGACAGCAGTAGCAGTGGGCAGAGTGGGGAGGGGAGGGAAGGGGAAGGGAGGGGGGAGGGGAGAGAAGGAACATATCACTAAGCATAGAGAGGAAGAGACAGTGTGCCGAGAGAGGAAGGGGGATTCTTACCTGATTCAGGGACCTTAAAAAGTCCCTGGCTGCTGCTCCCATGGCATAGTCTGCCTACCTCATTGGAGGTGGGAGATTTGGGAAAAGAGGTACAGACATACCTGCAGCACTGGTCAATGTTCCTGCACCTGTCTTTACAAGAACCTGGAACCATCCATGGTGCCCCTAGAATCTAGATCTACCATTGCCTGGGTTTGTGCCCTAAAAACTAGGCCAGTTAAAAAGTAGAAAGATTACTGTCATTCCCCTCCTTCATTTTACTTCTAGCAGGTATGTATATATCTGAGCAATAATATTCTGCCTCAGGTGGAGATAGAAGCCTAATTTGTTATAAGTGTTAAATTTGCAGTTACATGACTATGTAAGAACCACGTAGGTGTGTAAAGGCGCAATAGGGCTTAGGATATATCTATCTTACAGAAAATGTTTTACCATTTGGACTTGTATTTTTCAAATGTAATCACATTCAGCCTTTTGGGGTAAATATGCAATGTCAAAGCCATCAATTGAATTTTTGAGATGCTGATAAGCCATTAAGAAGTATCTAGGACATAAGAACGGCAAAATAGCAGTTGAAGCACCAACAATTCAGCAATCAAAATCACAAATTAATGGTTTTAAGTTTTTTTTCAAAACTTGGACATGATAGTTCTTATGAATTATCTTTAGTGACATGCCCATTTCTTAAACTGAACAACATTTGAGTCTATAAATGTTATATGCACATGTGTACCATGAGTCTCCAGCACCCGAGAGCCAATGCCTGCGTTTAAACCCTGCCCCCATCTATGGCTGATGGCTGAGCGGGGGAGAAGGGGGTCCCCCAGCAGCTGATCAATGAGCCCAGAAACACTGGAAGTGCCGCCAGGGGACCAATTACCCCTTGGAGGGCCCGGCCAGCCCCACTCCAGGCTGGCACCCAGGGGTATGCCCTCCCCTCCCCCCATTGGTATTCCACTGATAGTCTCTTATCTTCAATCATGTATTGAGCGCTAATATAAATACATGTAAACATATAAGTTAATATAACATTACAATAAGGAAGATGAGGAGGTATGACATTTTCTTGATAGTTTTGGCCCTTTCTTATTAGAATATGGTTCAAGAGAGCATGCCATCATCTTTGAAGTGGGATCAGCTGTTCTGGGATGTGTCCCTGTACAACTGATCTATTTCATTGGTGTCTAAAGATAGTGCTTGAGTCCTAGTCGCACCAGGTTGGGTATCATTCTCAGAACATCAAGAGCCCAATGCTGTAGGACAATGGCCCCAGGTGCCACGCCCTGACTCAGGGCACAGCAGCCTGATATGTGCACCATGGGAATTGCCTGCAGGACAATTCCTGGGGCATGTATCTACAAGCACACCCCTTCAGGGGAATTTCCATGGTGCACAATAAGTAAACAGATGTCTTTTAATTTAAGATATCACAAACTGACTATTTTTGGTTGTGGCAATATTTTGGGGCACTTGGAGCATGACAATGAGTGAGGATGTCTGTTTCCTTGTAACTTGTTCCGCCATAAAAAATGTCATAGCAGTACAAGGATGATATTTGTTTGCACCCAGGGTGCCTGTACATGAGTGTGGAGGCTGCTCAGATGTACTATAATTACACCATGTCAGAGTAGACGTGACTACTCAAGTGGCAATTACCATGCTCCAGAAGCCTCCTGAGTCTTGTGTATCAGTGTCCCAGAGCTTCAAAATGTCAGTGGGGGCACTTGAACTAAAGATTGTTGAACAAGCTTTAGTTCAAACACCCTCACTGCCATTTCAAAGTGCAGAGATGCTGATACACTAGCTGTTGTGGTGCTTTAATTAGAGCAGCTCCCAGAGCCACTCTAATTAAAGCACCACCCTTCCCCCTGGCCCCCGAGCATGTATAAAAGTGCCCAAAGATTAGAATATTTAAATCTTAGTCCTTAGATTACACCTGACCCTGTCTGTGGGTCAACAATGAAGCAACAACAATGCTTCCATAAGCTTACTATCTCAATGTTAGCTCCAGATACTGTGTGAACATATTCATCTGATTGTAGAAGTATTTCTTAGTTTAAAAAAATGCACAAAAAATTGCTATCTGAATCCATTAACTTATGTACATCTTGGTTGTGTTCAGCAAGTTCAAGGTCAAATAAATACCAGAATATATTTAAAAGAGCAATAATGGCCATTATGCATCATCCTTCTTGACCACTGTTCTATGCTAATTAATGAAAGATTCAGAGAAATTCAATTATTAAATTACATTAAGAGAAATGATTTTCTGCTCTGTTCTTGTAGAAGGGCCAGAAAAGCAAAGCAGAATATGCTTACACTTTTAATTTACTACATTGTTTCTCTCTCTCTTAGAGGAGAAAACCTTGTATTAATTGTTCATTTACATTTGCACTAAAACTTCAAGAAAGTATTTAAAATAGTAGCTAATTAATTTTAGTAGGCATTAATGTTTTGCAAGGTAACATTCAGATCTATCTTGCCAGTTCTGTACTAGTAACAAGTAATTGTTCTTGAATAGCAAGAACATTTTGAAAATGCAATAATTTTAATTAAACATTCATTTTAATATTGTTTCTTGTACTCTTTATTTCTTTTTTGGATAATCAGCTTTAAAGGAGGGCTGTTTATTTTCAGAAGACTAACTTTTTCAAATGTATGCATAAGTCAACTTTGAAAGTAAAAAAATCAAGTCAGTCTTTTTATATTTGTGAAGCTGTTCAAACATTGAAACAATCAAACATTAGAGAAAGGCAAAAATCACTACATGGGGTAAAATTTCTTCCTGATCTCAAATGTGGCAATGGTCTGATTCTGAGCAGAGAAATGGATGTATCTACACGTGCATTTATGCCAGCTTAAATTTACTGTGCAGTAAGCAGGAATAGGCTGGCATCTACATGTGCAGGCATTAAAGCACATTAACATTGTGTGCGGACTGACGGGACTAAATGTTACTGTGCAGTAAGGCATTAAACATGCTTTACTAAGCAGTAACTAATCAGACATAAATTTGATACCTGCGTCATGTAGACACATCCAAATAAGACCTAGTTGGGAACCTCTTCTTTTCTTTTGCGGTTAACACCTTGTGATTGGGGGAAGGTGAAAAGAAAACCCTAACAATTA